ATCAGGCACGGTATGCTAGAAGGCGTCGGTTCGAATCCGGTCAGATCGAAGGAATGTTTTCTGAGTGTTCGATCTTTGTATTAATAATTATAAGAATATGCATAATGTATTTTCAAATAAATAATTTTCATTTTGAATGAATTGGAAGAAAAAGTAGCCTACACCTACAAGCAACTATGTGAGTGCTCCTCTGCGAATACACTTATTCTTAACACATCGACTTATGTTGTTCTCAGGAAGAAATTCTATAACATAGCCAATTACCACCTCTACAGTTCCAATGTGCGACACTTGTAAATTCTCGGATTTCACGAGATTCAAATTTAAACTGGAAATCACATATACAGTCTGTGCGTGAAAAACTTGGAAATGCTACTAAGGAAACTGCGACCTCTTATGTCCAATGTGGAATCGAACTTGAAACCTCTGCGTGGCAGTCGGCATGGTAACCGCTCACCCACGGAGGCAGTTAAATAAATGATTATATTATTTTACTGCACGACGAATTTTTGGAATAAATAATTGGATCATTATTATATGCCTACTTTTAGCCGCAGGTCTAATCCGAGAAGAAGATTCAGGCCATAGGCTGATACACTGACCCAATGCGGGCCGGAAACTTCACACGTTGTGAATCTTCTTTTCTATATATTTTTATAATATCAAGTGGCGGGACGAACAACTCGTGCGCCTGATGGCAAGCGATATCCCTATCCATAAGAATTGTAATGACACTCAAAGCTTTAAATCTCAAATTATAAATCTAGAGCGAGCGCGGAGTATAACGTGGGAAAAGGTCAACCTCGGTGTACATATCTCAACCAAATAAGAATGTCCTTTGAAAGTTTAGGTAAAAAATGAGAACTAACGGGCGTACACTAAAGGCTTAAGTGCTAGCGCAGGAAGCGGAAAAGCTACATCAGGAGAGTAGCGAATGGAGATCCATAGTCTCTACTTACTCCTGGTAAACGGACGTGATGACATGTGTATTTTATGAAACTTTAAGGAATTTAAATAAACGTATCCATAGGAAATGAAACTGTTTTTCCAGATTTAAATCGCGTATATTTGTTTTTTCAAACAAACCGACGTTACGGGCTCTTTACAGGTCCTATGGTCACGGTTGACTGAGGTGGTACAGTCATCAAACAATTTTGTCTAATATTAATGCAAACCACCCTATTTTTTCACTATAGTCACAAAACTTATTAATTAAATACCTTATTTTTAATTTGACAAAGAAACATTCCAATTTACGCTACATTACGTTTTACAAATTATTTTATTGAATGAATTTTTATGAAGTTCAATTTATTGTTTATTAACAGTAGAAATTAGAATAAATTAAAACATATTAATTAGTACTGCCGTCTTGCGTCTGTTTGGAATTTTTCATTAGAGGAAATACTGGATCCCAAACTGGTGGTACGGAGAAACCATCTTCCCTGTTGAAATGAGGATGTTTTTTTGATGATTTGATTGGATGGCCTCTCGCAGCTTCCTGAGTAGATAACAGACTTCTTTTGCAAGGGCCTGAGGTTTGTCAAACTTCATAGAATGTGTAGGTTTATCCATGACATGCTCGCAGACTGCAGATTTGTTTACGCGACGGTGTTTGACATCAGCTATATGTTCTTTGACGCGGGTACAAATACTTCGCTTCGTTTGTCCAATATAAGACAGACCGCCCTCATAGTCAAGCTTGTAAACTCCTGCATCCTGTAAGGGGATGTTGATGTGATGTTACATTTCACGGGTCTCAGGAACTGAGAAATCTTCCTCATGGGCTTGAAATAGGTCTTGATAGATGCACGCCTGAGGACTCTTCCGATCTTGTTTGTAACACCTTTTCACTCTCAAAATACTTAAACGTCGAAAAAGTACATTTGCGAATACATAAAAGTCTTTTTGGAGCAAAGAATAAGCTTCTTAAATGTTGACGTGGAGATTTTATGTAAGTATTCCTTAAATGTTTATTTATATAAAACTGACACAAGCTTGACCACAATCTTACCCGATGTTAAGTGACAAAGTTGTTACTAAAAATATAACTGTACTTCTTTATTTCAATCTCTACTTATGCGATATATAGGAGGGCCGTCATCATAGGCTTCAACATCAAACTTACAACGGAGTATGTGGTGACAGTCCTCCTGAAGGAAGATTTGAGAGCTGTACCGACCACATCCAGTACCTGACGACCTGTCAATAGCGCATTCTTTTGAAATATTGTAAAAAGCTAAGACACGTAGTTTCGAAGTGTAACGTCAAAAAAGGAACAAAAATGTTTCGGCGACCATATCATCATTCAATACATCCGAATTCATATTCTCATCCGAAGTGACTGGTGGAAAGAGTTTTTCTAAAAATTTTGTTGTCACTCTAACCTTGAATAGCTCCAAATCGTAGCTTTCGGTAAACGTCGCGTCGTCGGTAGTATGTTCTATTATTCCTTTGCCCTACGCGTTAAGAAGGATAAAGCAAAAAGGTTCAAAGTCAAAGTCAAAGTCAAAGATTATTTATTCCATAGGTAAAATAAATTTACACTTGAAATCGTCACATTTAAGCAACTGCTCGTTTACTACGCTGACCTTCCTGAGAAGAACGATCAAGAAACTCTAGGGATTGCTCTTTTCAAATAAACTTAAATGCTATAGAATAATACACTTTGAATCAAATTTGTGTGGATTCTGGAGCCATGTCGTCTTTCCATACATCATTATCTAACACGTAGTCTTCAATTTTGTAATATGATTTTTCGATCAAAATATTTTTAATGTAGTTTTTAAACTTAGGAAATGATAAACTTATATTATTATATTATATTATATTATATTATATGATAATATATATGCTCCGGAATCTTATTGTAAAAACGTATACAGTTCCCTATAAAAGAGTTGTTTGCCTTGGTTAAACGAAATCGTGGTACCATGAGTTTGGACTTAGCTCTAAGGTTTATATTATGGATATCTTCTTTCTTATTGAAATTATGTATATTTTTACGGGCATATAAAATATTTGAGTAAATGTACTGTGATGCCACAGTCATGATACCAGTCTCCTTAAACTTTTCTCTGAGAGAAACCCGAGAGCCTAGACGGTACACAGAACGAATCGCTCGTTTTTGCAATACAAATATGGTTTGAATATCTGCCGCTTTACCCCACATGAGAATCCCGTAGGACATTATACTATGGAAGTAACTAAAGTAAACTAGTCTAGCAGTACTAACATCGGTAAGCTCACGTATTCTGCGGAGCTTAACCTGCTGGCCAGGGAAGATATATGTGGAAACCATTGAAGTTTACTATCTAAGGTCACTCCCAAGAAGACTGCTTTATTAAGAATATCTAACTTTTCTCCGTTTATTTCTGTGCTTGGACTAGTCGATTTTACGTTAGGTAATTCAAATTTAACACATTTTGTCTTCTTGGCATTAAGCAATAAATTGTTAGCATTAAACCAATAAACTACCTTAGAGAGGGTATCATTAATATTGTCATAGTTAATGTCATATCTGTCTGTTTTAAAAATCAAGGATGTGTCATCAGCAAACAACACTATTTCGCAATGGTCCTTAACAAAGAATGGCAGATCATTAATATAAATCCAAAATAAGAAAGGCCCAAGTATTGAGCCCTGCGGAACACCCATTTTTACCGGAGAACCCAAAGAAGTCACACCATTTATGTCTACTTTCTGAATTCTACCGTTAAGATATGACGAGACAAATTTCAACGCCTTGTCATTTATAACGTAATGTTCCAGCTTCCTAATAAGAGTAATATGATCAACGCAATCAAATGCCTTTGAGAGGTCACAGAAAACACCGATAGCATTCTGGGACCTTTCCCACGCATCAAAGATGTGTTTTAGTAACGCTACCCCCGCATCGCTAGTCGATCTACCACTAGTAAACCCGTATTGTTCACTATGAAAAATATGATTCCTACCGAAATAGGACAGTAATTGAGTCAGCATAACCTTTTCGAATATTTTACTTAAAGCTGGTAAAATTGAAATGGGCCTGTAGTTGCTAGGATCAACTTTCCTACCGCTTTTGAATAAGGGAATAACCTTGCTGTATTTCATTAAATCGGGAAAAACACCTTCGTCAACGCACCTATAGGTTCGTGCGAATGATTGGTATACCAATGACATAAGCATGCAGTATTCGAGACTTTCTAGTCGATCGAAGGAGAAACGGTGAAGGTGGAACTGAGTTGAGAAGTCTCTGCTCACACACTACGAAATGTATCCGATAAAAAACTGATGAATAGTCTTCTTCACACGAGAATCGAGGTCCATCAGCTCATTTTCCTCGCCCCCTTTTGCTTTTACATCTACAAGTTTGGCGGGATATCTTCTCTACTAGGTCAATATTCTTTTCAGGAGTACTAAGTGCTGTTCGTCATCTTTTATTATACACGCAGCCCAGAGATGGAATTCCCGCCCTGCGACTTTGTTTCCGAGTGCTTACAACCCGAGTATCCTTAAAGAGCGACTGTATAGGCATCTTGTGGCGAGCTCGTTACATTGTACACTCTAACTTGGCTTCGAGACTAAGTAGTGGTCAATAATAAGTCTATTTACTTAATAAATAAGTCGTTCCCAAATTAGAGCTGTCCCAAAGGTGGCAACAGTATTTTTTATTTATTTTATTTTTATTTGTTTATTTATTTTCAGGCTACAAATACCCATAAACACATACCTTATAAACTAACATACATAATAATATTAGAATAAAACAATATTTATTTACACGTATGGACGTATGGACTGCGATGTGTGACACAACGTGGGTGTCCGGTAACCAGCCTCGAAAACATCGGCACTTCATAAACGTCAACAAATATTGAGTACCAACTCTCACCACAAATTAATTAAAATTCACATTGTGGCGGTAAATGTTTCATCACGATTAAATTTGTGCTTAATTGATAGTTAAAAGCTGTTCATGTATTGTTCAAACGATGGTAGTAACATCGAGAACTTACCTTTGAAGGAAGCCATGGTGCTCGGCTGTGCACATTTAGTTCTCGTGTCCCCGTCGCATAACTCCACGTTCTCAACCTGCAACACAATTTCTTGTATTAGACTTAAGTCGTACAAGTTCCGTTAATTAAACCTATATGCGTCACAGTACGAATACTTCTAGTATACTCTTGCGAAATACTTGAAAAGGTGTTTATGTAAGTCAATGTTTCAAACTGATTTATCTATCTTGACATTGAAAGGTCCCGGCACACGGGACGATTTGTCTTCACGATCCGTTGTGTCGATACTGTGTTTTTATCATTAACGCCAGGAGAGTAACGACGAATCGATACAATTGTCATAACGATCTATAGAAACGAGAAATAGTCTTTATATGGGGGCCTTAAAACATCAATATCTAGAGTTTTATGCTCGAGTCAACAGACAGGGAAAACACGCGCCGACCTGGAAATAAGCTCGACCGGCGCGGCGTAGTTGGTCTGGATTATGCAAACATAAGTTATTAATGGTGCTATTAAAATAGCCTGGGGCGAAAATGGTTGCTTCTCGATTGATGCTTGAAAACAACATAATGAAACTTGTGTATCGAAAAAGGCTCGTTCATAGATTTCTCACAAATGAGGCTACGACAAAACAGTCGTTAAAAACCAAAACAGAGATCTGCAACCATTCTGCAACAAACACATGGAAACATTCGTGAGGTCGAGGTTGGTTCGTTCCTTGGCTTAGTGGCATAGCAACTGGCACGGTTTGCTGGGAGACGTTGGTTCCAATCCAACTGGATCAAGTGATTTTTTCTAGGTGTTCGATCTTTGATTAATAATTATAACAAACTAGTGGAGTTATTTCTCAAAAAATAATTGAATATCATGGTGGTTAAACACGCTGACATTCAATAAAACTTAATTACAATAATTAAAGTGACATCTCAAGTCAGCGGTTGGTAGCTGTAAAAGTAGCTCCACGAGTGAAGGACAACTTTCATAGATTTGTCACAAATGGCGCTACGGCAAACAGTCGTTAAAACCAAAACAAAAATCTGCAACAAACACATAGAAAAATTCGTGAGGTCCGTTGTGTTAGCGAATTGTGACATTAATTTATTTTTTTATGTTAGAAAACTTATGTTAGAATTAGTTTAATCGAAATAAGAAATAAATCGATATCATCGTCATCATCGTATCCGCGGAACGCTGACAGGAGGCCACCATTGCGAAAAACATATTTGATGAGAAAGGACGTGGTTTTGTTCTGTTTGGATTTATAGTGAAGAGATTTTACAATATAATTTATAACAGTCACTGTGTCGAGGTGGAAGAGCTAGAGTGTCGGAGTAGATAGCTAGAAAAGATGGAGAATTATAAAATATAACAATAAGTTTATATCAAAAAGAACCTGAGAGTGTTATGTAGGAGAGTAGAATGGTGTGGTGTGTAGATGAAGAAGATCGAACTTGGATACACGAAGTTGCGGGCCTCTGCCCTCCAAGGTTGGAAACCAAGGGCAGAGGTGTAGAGCCGGAGAGCAGGGGGTTCAGCGTGGAGGCGGAGAGTGGAGGTCGCTGCATGTAGAATCGCTGTTTCTACGAGGTTCTCGTAGAAACAGCGATGGTCATGCAGCACTGGCTTGGCACCTCAGTTGCTTCTGAGGCGAGGTAGAGCTTGTAGTTAAGCGATCCACACTCGCAGAGCGAAGGGCCCAGTCCAGATAAGCAGAACGTTAAGGCGAAGAACAGATTTAGATAGAGAACCGAGGAACTTAGTTCAGGCAAACGCGTAAGCGCAGCAGAAGGAACTCCAAGCGTAAGATAACTCGAAGGTCAGTAAAGGAATCACGAGCGATTGGCAGAGCGAGAAAGAGCTTCGAAATTGGAATGGCGAATTTTGAATTTGGAATGAGGAACCAAAATGTGAAAAACTGCTAAGCTTCCATATCAAAGGAAGGAGTAATTTACAGGATAATCTATGGAAGAATAGATTGTAGAGGAATAACATAATATCTGTCAATCAATGTCAATATGCGTATAAAGCTTAGAGGATGAAAATAAAATAAAAGAAAGGAGCTGCCCTAACTACGTAATGAACGTGCATACCTAAACAAAAATTCAACAAACAAATGGCGGATTTCTTTAGTGTCGTATCATAATCTATCGATAAGCCATTATCGACATGCAAACGTTTAATTAAAGTAGATCAATGTTCCATTTGGGAATATTTTAGGTTATATGGAAACATCCGGGAATGTCACATGTAATTTTGAATTTATTGTTTTGCGTTTACAAATACTCAAATAATACGAAAAGTGAATTTGCACAGAAAAAATGTAATTTGAGAGTATATAAAAAAGAGAAAACTTCGAAATATAAATCCTATACATTTCCAACCTCAAGATTCATATTTTCATAGAAAATTTTTTAAACAGATTCCAATTAGTGTGAACTTTTTTTGTATTTATGCATTGATGTAGAATTAATATAACTGACTAAGTGAATCTTCAATACTTCCATTTAATTTTGGAAATAAATGAAAGTAGAAATATTATCAATAATAATATTAGGAAATGAAACTATTTTTCCGGATTTAAATCGCGTATATTTGTTTTTTCAAACAAACCGACGTTTCAGGCCCTTTACAGGTCCCATGGTTACGGTTGACTGTCAAGTAGTTTCATTTCCTATGTGTAACAATCGCGAAAACCTAAGAACTCGATAACAATAATATTATTATCAATCGTATATTTGCTTAAAACATGGTATAACAAGAGATGTAACAAGGCACAGTGTTAGTATACACCGACTATTCTAAATGTTTTGATCGCATCGATCATAACATCTTAATATCAAAATTAAATGATATTGGTGCACGGGGACTTGTTGAGATGGCTTGAGTCTTATATTCGGAATCGATCGCAAGGGGTGCGTCTCAGTTGTTCGAAAATCAAATAAACTAATTTCAGAACATATACCGTTCATATAATATAATTTTCATTTGGACTAATTTCAGTTCCTATATTTTAACTTCATATAATTGTTGTTTGATATAACATTCACATTTTATAACTTTTTTTAAAATAAAGCTCATATCATATAACTGTCATTTCATATATTGTCAATTCTGATAATTTTCACATAGTATAATGTCATTTTTTATAAATAATAAAGTTAAACCCGGCTCGCCGTGGTACTTGTCTGTTCGATACTAGAGTGTAACTTTATGTTTTCAATAGTATAGTTTACATAGCTGAATCTTCGTTTCGACAAAATTATTATTGTTACACACTGGATTCCTTGGTGGTTTAAAAGAAAACAAATGTATTTCACATAGGTCAAATCTTGGTTGCGTCCTCTATCTAGTAGGTTAGGTTAGGTTAGTATATGAAAAAGCCGCGGTAGCGGCCGGCGAGTGCCAGAAGCGAATTTGTTTGCGTTTACGAACATAGTTTCAGGTCAAATTATAATTGATATACTATTAGTTTTAGGAATATCGTTTCTTAATCGTTAATAAATTTTCTTCATGAATTTGTAAGCCATCATGGTGTATTGTAAGATAGACACTCGTAGGTTCCATAAAAACTGGTTTCCCCTTACTCTTCCCGCGATAAACAATTTGTCTCATGGCTGAAGTAGAGGGCAACTTGCTCAAAATCATTTCATCAGCGTTACGTTTCGCAGCTTGTAAAATCTGGCAAGTTTTTTTCTCTGGGTGTTCGATGGAATTTATTTTTAATTCAGTAATGATAGATGAAATTTCCGGTCGTGCTGGATCAGGATCATGATTGTGTAAATAATCATTATGTTTAGTCACTGTGTGTGTTTCGGTTTCCATATTCACTATTGTGGTTGCACGAGACTTGCATTGCTTGGTTTGGTATAATTCACAAATCCAATACACTGTATTATTCACTTGTCTGTTTTTATTATAAATAAATCCATTAGCAAACAATTTCAGACGTCCTTTCGAACTTTTAAATGTACTACTGTTTAAAATAGACATATTTGAATTTTATTTTCAACAATTTTTTGACCAAATACAACTTCTCAACGACTTATTAACTTATTTGTGACAGACAACATGAGCATTTTTTTCATCTACCCCGTATTTATACTAACTACAAAAATAATTATACGTATAACCGTACATTAGTTTTTGCTACTTGCGTATAATCAGGCGTTAGGTTAAATGATATTTATATAAATTGTTGTTATATTAACTGAGGTTTATAACTTATGATTGTTATTAGAAATGAGTGTTAGAGTACATGATTGTTATATAAAGTGAAATTATAATATTTAAGTTTATATTAAAAGTTTGTTATATGAAGTGAATTGTTATATTAAATGAGTTTATTTGAAATGAAATTATGACAATTGAGCGTTATGTTAAAAAAAATTATATGATATATTACACACCCCGATCGCAAGCTGTAAGGATTGGGACTTTTAAATCGAACTCGGAATTCATCGCATCAGGTGTACCGCAAGGACCCCACCTTGGTCCGTTGCTGTTCGACACTTCTCCGAAATGAGACAAGTAGTCACTAGCGACGAGTTGTGACAAGCCACGTCAAACGAGCTCTATACACGTTAACGCTCGCCTTCACTCGGTCAGCAAGGCGAGTGACACCGAACGATGGCAAGGCAAAGCAAGACAAATAGGCTGTCTATACGTTGGTATTGGCCATCACCCGGCAACGTTGGACCAACATGGTCATTGTATTCCTGGCTTTATAAAATAAGAATTTTTCGTAAAAGAAAGAAAAAGAAAAAATCGGAAACGAGTAGATAATTTTGTTTTCAGGAACTGAGAATGCTTACTAAATGAGTCTTGTGTAATATAAATTAAATATAAAATTATTTACCAATAAACCTATGATGTAATTGCATTATCATGTAATCTAGTTACATTCAAAGTTATGTTAAAATTTAACTCTTCAAAATGAAGCGAATAAATGAAGATGACTTTGATTCAATCTTTATATTCGGCACTATTATACGGCGGTATGATTTCCAACCATTCTTGTTTCTTTTTTGATTTGTAGGTAAACTTGAAATAGTAAAAATGATAATAATAAAATAA